AAAGAAAATCAAAACAATCAATGATAAATGTATAATCATATTATTATTTGCATAGAAAATAAACTAATAAGTAATTTTAAAATACTAGTAGATAAGTAATAACTTATATTTATAAACGAAGTTTAAAAAAAGTAAGTGTGCTGAACAATTAACGATATATTTTTTTTCTTTATATTTTAAATACATAATAAATTGTTAAAGTAAAATGTTGTCAGTTATAATTCTTTAATTTGTCTAGCTTTTTTAAATGAAAAATCATTTATTATATCTTCATAATTTAGTTGTTCTGAAAGTTCTTTTTCTATACAAATTGTAGCAAGTTCAGTAAGTCTTTGTTGTGACATGGTACTTCGTAAATAAGTTTATAAGTTTTAATTTTGAGAATGTTCTCTCTGCTCCAGCTGATGTAAACGAAATTGTTAACATAATTTGTAAGGCAATATTCAAGGAAATGCGTTCGTTTTTTTATTTCAGAAAGTACTAGAAGTGGTTTAGTATTTTTATCAATTAAATGGTGGAAAATTAATATTTCTTCGTATAAATCATAACCATTTATATTTTTTTTGTCATTATCTGACAAACCTATTTCCAAATCTTTGCAGCAATTTAAAATTTCTAAATCAGAAAGTAGGTAACTATTAGTATATTTTATATATAATACATGTACATATTATTGGCTACATCAAATGCGATAAGCCAATAACGACGATACAACCGTCGAGCATTTTAGTTTTAACAATCATTATAAACAACAAAAATAATTCGGTAGAACGTATAAATCAACTTAAATTTAATGTGATACATGGGTATTTTGGGTAGGTAATATATTTTTTGTTGTTAGTATAATAGTATATGTTGGGTTTACCAAGACTCATGATCAAAAATTAACTTAATTTATGTTTTTTTGGTTTCATTCAGGTGGGAGCACTATAAATATCGGGCCAAAATCACGGGGCCCAGAGCATGTGCCCCGCTCGCCCCGACGATTGCTCCGGCACTGGCTACAGTATATACAATGTAGAGAAATACTATAGCGCGCTAGAAATTTACGGTTAGCGTAGCGAAAATGTTCATTATTTTATCGCTACTTCTAACCTATTTCATGATAATTAAAATATCATGATGACGTATATTTATTTATTTAATTAAGATGACAAGATGAGTGTATTTTTGATTTTTTCGGGTTTAGCCCGGACCGGACTAAGATAAGACCGGATAGATTAGACTATAATCATAAACAGTGCATTATTACAATGTAATATTTTATATTATTGAAAACAGAACCATAAATAATATTTAATATATTAGTATTTTATTATCACTATTTTTGTTTTCGGCATTCAGCGTTTTCTACTTTTCTGTGTTTCTTTTAAGTTTTAAATATTTTGAATAGTTGAATTAAAAATGACAGAACCTGAAGCCACCACGTCATATTCAACTAGTTAGCAATTTTCAATAAAACGTTTATTTGTTTTGATTTTTGTTACAAAAATACATGAGTTACACTTAATAAACCTGCCTTCCGAAATTACAAGAAAATAGTGGTAGGCATTAACAAATAATGAACAAGTACTCAAGTGAATATCTAAATAAACAAAAACAATTTTTAAAAAAATGTAGCTAAAAAGTAGCACGCTAAATTTAAACAATAGCGTTAGAAATAGCGCACTACATTTAAAAAAAAGTAGCTTTAGCGATAGCGAGCTACTTTTTTTGGGGAGTAGCAGTAGCGTTAGCGTGCTACAAAAAAACAGTAGCGTCCAGACCACTGAAATTTTTACAGAACGACACAAAAACACATTTCTTTGTAAAATCAATATATGAATTGCTCCGCTAAAAATCTAAATTACCTACATTAAATTGTAAATTATTTGTCAAGTATAAATTTTAATTTTCAATCTTACTTTAGAAACCAGTAACCACTTATAAAATATATTAACTGTAGATGAAAAAGTAACTTAAATCATCCGGACGCAATTCATTCAAAAAGCTACGTTTGCCTAACTTGGTTAGTAAGTAGTTACTAACCCAAGTCGCGTGTCCCCGAGATGTATAACTTTTATGTTACCAGTGTGGGCGTGTGGCAGTATCAATGTAACCAAGTTTGCATCACAGACCTCGATCATATTACGCAAATGATTCATATGTGATATGTCCATCTATAAGCATTAACGCGTATATTACACTTTAGTCTATATGACTATATTTAGACTCTATACCTAACAATGAATATCTATAATTAACAAATAGGTAACTATAGAGCTTATAGAGAACTGAACCTACTTTAGAGTTTAATACATAATGCTACAGTTGACAGTTGTACCTACGTATTCGAAATGCATCAAATATTAAATTTCCTGTTAAATGATAAGTTAAGCTGTTAGGTTCGCTAAGGATTAAGTATAGGTAGGTAAAGCTAGTTTTATTCACTTATTACGGGTTTTATTTAAACATCATTATTAATGATTCATTAATATACCTTCTCCATCTCTAGACACAAGCTGGAAATGCATTTAATATTTTTCAAAGGGTCGTGTCAAACAATTTACGAAGCTGAATCAACAAAAAATGGTTTGGTAACGTTGGCATATTTATTTAACGTAAGTAAATAATATACTGAAAATGACCCTACCGCCGCTTACCAGCTACCTTCCTATACTGCAATATATAATTATAATCTAATTGGTGTTTCATATAAGGAATTTTCTTTAGCTAGTGTATTATTACTAGAACTACTGTGTTACTTTATTATTTTCTTTTTGTACCAACGCTGTTATCATTTCTTACTTAGTCATAGGCGCAAATAGGGGATAAAGCACCCCTAAACATTTTCTACATTTTGTCTTAAGATTATTCAATATTATTAAAGTAAGGCTTTAGCCCCCCCTCCAAAAAAAAAATCCCAAACGCTATTTGCTCCTATGTACCTAGTATATCTACCTACCATCTAATACCTATATAATGGGAAATATCTAACATCTAAGTGAGTGATAGCGAACATATGACACACGGATCACTGAATGATACGCTCGAGTTTCCAAAAAAAATGTTTTGTAAATTAAAAATGTGTATATTTGTGTACATCATAATAAATACTTGGGTAGGTATATATATGCAGTTTATAAGTAAATACCTAGACCTAACAATAAAAAAAAATGTCATTAAAATAGATGACCAGCCGCGAAAATAAAATCAACCAGTCTTTATTTGACACACAGACACAGGTGTAGAATATTTTGCTGTCCCTAACCTAATAGTTAACCCATTTATGTAGGTATATCAATATCATATTTTTTAGTCACCATTTGAGATTTCTTTTAAAATTTTAATACAATATTTAAACATTTAATTTTTATATTAATTATAACTTTTAAGGACTAAACTAAACTGCAGATTATAAAAAAGCCTATTTTGACTTTTTCTTAGAAGATTCCAACAAAATATGTTGCATTAATGAAATAAGTTCCCACGAAGATTGATAGGTATACCTACTATGAATACCCAACAATATCAATAAAATTATAATAATTTAGCATACATTTTTTGTACTTTCATATATTTAGTATTTTAGTCCCTTAACCATTTTTTCCCTTTGTGTTATCGCAGTTGATGTAGGGACTGCATTGTCTGCATTAACATTACTTCCACCCGGGTTAGCATTACTTCTACCTGGATTAGCATTACTTCCTCCTACTTCCTAGTCCCTTTACTATACCTACCTATGCATAACTGTAGGTACAAGGTATCTATAACAAACTTTCCGACTTCCAAAGCACCCATGCAGTAGGTATATTATAATGTAAAAAATATATATGTATATAATGTATATATTTATTTACAAATGATGTTGTATATTATGTGATAATATCTCTATAGTTTATCCGTTATCGCCTATATTTCTATAATAGTAGGTAGGTATCTATATTACATTAAACTTACAATGACCGAAAAGTTAAGACGCTTACCAATATAAAAGTACAAAATACAAATATATACAATAACACTATAACACTATAACAGTATAACTTACTGCACAGTTTGACTAAACTATGTAAAGCAGTATTATTACTTATACATGTTTATATATTAACCTACCTCTGAAAACCATATAAGTTTCTAATGGAAATCTACGAAATAAATTATACATTTTATAATATACCTATTACCTAGGTGTAGTTCTGTAGGTTTATTTATGCGAGAAGGTAGTTGGAAAATTGATTTTAATTGATTCCCTATTTAAAAAAAAAAAAATTAATAACTAGGTTGGCAGTTAATGATGTACCTATATTCCATATTCCAAAATACCTACCTACCTATTTATTGAATATTGACGCATCGTGCATAATATCAATATGTGCATTTATTACTTATCGAATGCATAATCTTAATTATTATTTATTAACTGTTAACTAGGTAGTGGTATAGTCATTATACCAATATTACAATAATATAAATTTGTACCTAATATAAATAACTAATAGTTAGTATTATCAATTTATATTTAATTTATTACAAATTACAATATATAAGTTTTACTATTTAATAATTCATAGGTCACAGAAAACCAACATTTCGGTATAGATCATATAACTAGATATTTGAGTTATGTGCGAACATCAGGCCAAACAGCTGAAATAAGTCCTGTTTTTCCATTAAGCATTTTGGTTCATGACCAACCAGGTGAGTATTTTACGTACTGGGGAAAAAACGATAAACGCGGATGCAAGTGTGGGGTAACCCAGTGGATAGTATTTACCCAAACGTGCGATGTTAATCGTGAACAGGTAAGACATCACCTGAATACCTATGTATACCAGGTTTATATAAGGAATATCCGAATATTACAGTTCTAGTAAATAGTTAGAATGTTAGATATTGGCGTAAATCTAATTGTGTCGTACGATAAATGCTCTTATTTTCTCTTTGTACCTAATTTGTACTTTCCATAATATGCGGCGTGCGTTTCGACGTATTTATGATCAAAAAAACGTCGCTCTCAGATGGATCAGTTCCGTTGTATGCTGAACAAGCGCGGGCACACGATCAAACGGAATTATCGGAAAGCCAACCAGGTGCCACCCGGAAACAAAACTCGTCCATATCTCGTAGTGTTAGATGACGTCCATGGCAGCAAATCGACGGCCCTCGACGTTGTACCAGCGGAGGTGGTAGTGGCAGCGGTAGACGTCCATGGCAACAGATCGACGGACCTCGACGTTGTACCGGCGGAGGTGGTAGTGGCAGCGGCAGTCAGATCACGTTCCAGAGGACTAGGGAAGACTTCGAGACGCCGATCGTTGGCCGTCATCGCATCGGCAGAAGGCGACAGTTCGAGTCGGACCCTGTGCATCAAGCCCACCAAAACGCAACTGTTGCGGCGAACGTTTAACCTAAACAAATTGTCCGTCCACAAGCGTAGTCCAGCAAATGCCAAGACGACTGCCATACGTACCAGCAGACAGTCCGAACGCTCGCAGACGGCCGATTCTGAAGCCGAGAACCATTTGCGGCCGACGTTATCGTTCAAAACGACCAGACCGTCGTGGAAGTAAATTGCACATAGGTAATAATATTGTGTACACCGTGCATGTATTACGTACCGAGGTTTACGACCAACTGTTGTTATAAACTACCTGTTATGTTATATACATTGACTGATATAATAACGTTTATTTTTCAATTTTCAATTGTATACGACCTTGGTCTAGGCCCTTCTTTAAAATAACTTAAAACTTTTAAAAATTTACGTTTTATACAATTTATTCACGTATCATAAATCATAATTATTATAGGTGCTAACTCTTTAAAAATGTTTATTCTCTAAGAAGCCTTCAAGAATATTTTTTTGCAGTTTGAAATAAGTATATCGACTTTTGGGGAATTTTTTCTGATTGACCGGGCCTAAAATAGTATCTGGCTACAGTTATTAAATAATCGTAGATTGCGACAACAAAAGATAAAGATAATGAATGTTGATAATCGACAAGCTGTAATGGAAACTGAATGTGTTACAATAAAGTGTAACTTTCAACAAGAAAAATGTAAACATATGTAAAAAAAAGTACAAAAACAAATAAAATGCACCAAAAATACCAAAAAATGACCATAAATTCCCAATAAATGCAAAAAATACAAAATAAAAATTGTACCATTAAATTCAATATTCCAGGAATCACATTTCTGTTAAGACGAGCCTCGAATGTAAGGGGCATGTACCAGTTGCCCCCAAAAGTACCTTTTTTATACCAATTCCCCCCAAACTATACCTAGAGCAAAATGTACCAGTTGCCCTCAATCAAATGTACCAGTTGCCCCCAACCGAATATACCAGTTGCCCTCATATGTTAATATATACACTTTTCTAAACGCCCATTAAAATTAATACGGGAAAAAGTTCAATCAAATGTCGTGGATGTAACATTAAACGATGTAAGCTCCATTCGCAGAAGCATTTATCGTGCGAGAAGAAAAACCACTGCCAAAATCTATTTCTGAAGTTAATTCAGCATTAACACTATTACAATTAAATACTTACAAGGGTGAGAATTTTCTATTATATAACAACGAGACGGAAAATATTGTATGCTTTAATGCACAGAATCATATTTAAAATTTTTATGTTCCCGAGACAACATTTTTGTAGACGGAACATTTGAATAATGTGCGAAATTTTTTTTATAACTTTATACAATACACTGTGTCAAAAATGGACATTATATTCCATTAGTGTTTTCATTACTGCCTAACAAATCATCGAAAACTTACGAATTATTATTTAATATGTAAAAAAAAAATGCTCTAGCTTTGAACTTAAATTCAACCCGTCAATTATTGTATCTGATTTCGAACAAAGTATCCATGTAGCTTCCAAAGTTGTTTGGCCATTAATTACAGTCGTGGGATGCAGATTTCATCTAACTCAGTCATGGTGGAAACACATACAACAATTAGGATTAAAGCCGGATTATATAGATCCAAATTCAGAAATTGGAAAATGGCTTCACTTAATTTTCGGTCTCTCATTACTATCCTCTACTAATTAAGCCTTTATCAGAAAAATTAGTTGAATTTTCTGACTATTTAGTTGACACATATATTTCCTCAAGTTCGACTTTTCCACCTTCACTGTGGGCTATGAATTCAATTGATTCAGAAAGGACTACAAATGCATGTGAATCATTTCATTCGTCATTTTCGAGAAACTTTAGTAGTGCACATCCAAATATTTTTATTTTTGTAAATGTTATAAAAGAAATACAAACAAATACATACATTGCTATAAGCAGTGTAAACTAAATTAAAAATATATCTAATCGCGCATACTTAAACAAAAAAGCCAGAATTGAAGATTTTATAAATAAATATAAAAACAAGAATATTAGTAGATTCGATTTTGTAAAATCTGTTAGTAATTATTATAACAAGACATAATACATAATTATTATATCTATATTTTTTTTTTTTTTTTGACAAATTATGCCACATAATTATGTACATTCAGTAAACTGGTACATTTGGATGAGGGCAACTGGTATATTTTAAAAATCCCGATAACAGCCGTGGGTGGCAACTGGTCAATACCCAATGTAACCATTAGAAAAAAAGATGCAAATGCATCAAGTTCCGGGCCCTCGATAATACATACTTATTATACTTATCAGATATCAACCATTCTTACTGTAAGTTGTGGGTATGCATGTATTAGCAATTTAGCATAAATGTAATAATATAATAACTTGAGTGCATAGGTACTAGAGACCAGGGGTGCAAATTATTTTGACGCTATGTGCCAAAAATCACATTTTTATTTTTTTTGAGCGTGTCATTAAATTATGAAAAGAGGTACATAAAAACTGAGGGAAGTACATATTATGAGCATGCAGCTATTTTTCGGTCAATAACGATTATTGAATTTTATCTGTAGATATTAATATATACATTGTGATGTTATTTATTATTAAAATTTAAAATAATATATGTATATAATATAAATATTTTAAATTTTGAGTGTCATGGATTTGTCATCCCTGCTATAAACCGTATACACATAATATAGCCTATGGGTTATATTTGGAGGGTTGGGGGACATTACTTTGGCTAACATATTATTATAGTATATCAGGCCTGTCATAACTTACATGTGTGTCAATGCAATTTGACATGTTATATTATTAAATTAAAGGGTGTTGGAGCATTAATTATAATTCTAAGTATGTAATTTATTGTCATTTCTATTTGTGCGTATCGCCAATAGGCATTGTTACAGGTGTCAACAATTTTCATTACTATTCTTAACATTTTGTTTTCAAAAATAATAATAAATATTTTGTACAATTTAAGATCGAGATTCTGTATCTTAATACCTGTTTTCAAAAATGTAAGTTTGTATGTATCTGTAAAACCACCGAAAATGTCAATGAAATTAGTTTATAATATATTGAGATCATAAACAAAATTTAATCATTCTTTGTATACATTTGTCACACAATTCGACATATGTTTTTCTGAAGAAAAATATAAACTATTGTTCAATATTTTTAAAGTATTTGCTTAACAGCCACTTTATTTTGATATTAATTTTCACACTTGATTGTTTTATAGAAAGTTTACAAATATTTTTAATTTAATAAATTGAGAATTGTCTGATTACATGTTTTTACAACATAATTAGGTGCCATTCATAAACAACTAGAATTAATGTTGATTTTACAAATTTACATGTCAGAAATGCTCCATTTGTATGCTTCATCTTCCACAGCTTTCTGAGAATTCAGCTGCAATAACCATTTCTGTTCATAACCATTTGATCTGTCTACACCATCCCATGCAAATCCTGGACGTATGCCAAACCTATTTGGTGGACAAAACCCTCGAAATTCTCTTACTTCTAAAAAAAAAAAAATGTATTATGATTTATTATAACAACTTAATTAACATTAACTGTGGACTGAGAGAAATATAATTTGATTTGTCTTTAAATATGTTCTAATGGGTAATTAAAATTTACAAACATTGATAGAGAAAGTAAGCATTGCTTGTAAGAAAATTACAAGTATAATAAGTAAAAGAAGAAATAAATTATTAAAATTAGGGATTTACCATGTCTCACACCATCAGGAGAATCTTCGCCTGATCCTTTATTTTTTGTTATATATTCGAGCATTGGATCTCCATCTCTGATTTTAGACTTCAACAAATTCTCAAGGTCTTGATCGTCTGCATATCTTGCTAATGGTTTTTGCATCTCATGTAAATCAGACTGGTATTGTTCCTGAGCATCCTTGACTTGTTTTACACTACAATTATAAATTATATATAAAATATGTCTTAGTGTCTTACCCAGTATTCATAAGTTAGTTAGATCACTAAGAAATTAAATCCTGATCATCTATAACTGATATATTTAATATATATTTTTTTTAAAAAGCTTTTAGTTCAATACTATTGTAGCTCAACAATTAAAATAAAATTAATTCTAAATATTGTTCGGAAATTACATACAGCTGTTAGGCTGTACACGCAAGTAGTATATATATACCAGTCCTGGCGCAGCACCTTTAATAATAATATATCAGTAAAAGATCACAAAGAAAACAATGTGCAAAAAGATCAGAAAATTGAAATGCAATAATAATAAAAACATTTTTCGCAAAACTTATGAAATGCAATAATTATAAAAACATTTTCACAAAACTTATGAAATGCAATAATAATAAAAAAATCGAAATGCAATAATAATAAAAACATTTTTCGCAAAACTTATTAAATACATTTTCACCCCCAAAATATTTTTCATAATACTTATGATATTAATAATTAAAATCGAAATGTAATATAGTGTATTAAAAAATATTTTTAAAGAAATTGAATACCTTAGTTAAAGGAATTGATATTTATAATAAAAGAATGGAATCTATAAACAATCATAATGAGTTACAAGAAACCGAAATGCAAAACGAAGTAGAAAACTATATTAAATAAAAAATAAAAAAATGTTATGTGAAATTTTGTGCTTTTGAACATTATAAAAATAATGAAATTATTAAATATAATCTAAATAAAATTCCGATTGAAGGAAATATTTTAATTGTTTAGCATCAGTTACTGCAGTATAAAGTGCACTAGCACCTGCAGCCAAAGCACTTACACCTTCAACCACAGCAATAGCTATTGGTAAAAATCCACCTTTTTTAATTTGAACATGTTTAAGTTCTAAACTTGATCCGGTATTATTTTTTTTAGCGTTTTTTAATTTTCTTATTTGTTCTGGCTCAAGAATAAATTTATGTTTTCCACTATCAATTTGATTATTTTCAATTAGAATTGATACATCTTTATTATTTTTATGAGCTTTCAATATTTTATTAAATTGTTTTTTATTTAAATTTAGATTCATTTTATAATACAAAATATTAAATTAAATTAAATTAAATTCATTCCAAATCGTCTTTTAACATTCATAACATTTGCTGTAAAAATGGCTGCAGTTTTTTCACCTATAGAACTATGAGGATCATAAAATCTTTCCATTGCTTTTTGTTCTAAAATTTTATCAGCAATATGTCTTGTTTTAGTATCTTTATTATCTTTATAAAAATAATCATGTTCTCTCGCAGCTTCATCTAATTTGTTTTTAGGTTTTTTATTTTTTTCTAACTTTGTTCCCGGTCCTAAATAATTATAGCCAGGCCAATGCATTTCAGGTAAATTTGAACAATTCAAAAGATAATTAACAATTCCTGAACCTGTAATAATTTTCTTTGGTAAACATGAAACATATGATGATAAATAATCTGCACCGTTAATAGGTATATCAAGTAATTTTTCCATTTCTCTAATACAAATATTAAGAATATCAAGTTTTTCATCATGGTAAATATTATTTCCTATACTTTCTTCAATTGATATATACTGTATACGTTTAATTATTTTTTCTTTTGATATTTTCACTTCCTTTGGTAAACAAGTTACATATTTTAGTAAATATTCAATACCTTCAGGAGTATCAATAAGATTTTCCATAATTGATTTAAATAAATGAACAATACCAAGTTTTTCGTTTTTAAAATTATTATTTCCAGCTCTTTCTTCTGAAGAAATAAACTGTAAATTATCTATCACTTGGTTTACATTACTAATATAACGATATTCAATACGATTTTCTGTGTATTTCTTTAAACCCTCCCCTATTTGATTATCTTCCACTAATATTTCATTATTTTCTTTTTTTTCAATAATTTCATTATCTTCATTATTTTCTTTCTTTTTATTATTTTTTTTCTTATCAGTTGTTTCTGTCATTTCTTTCCAAATCGAACTAATCATATCCCTATATTTTTCACTACGACTTGATTTAGCTCTTTTCGTTGAAGGATCATTGTTTTGATATATAGAATTAGTTTCAAATAATATATTTTTATAAATATTAAATTCATCATCATTATAAAATTTTTTGGGTGTAGGAACTTGATGAGTTAATAATCTCCATAAACCTGGTGTTCCTATATATCTTTTTTCATTTAAAATTATATCATCATTATCAAGATCGATTATATCTTTTCCAATCATATAAATATCATCTTTCTCATTAAGATATATTCCAAAAGAATTAGTATCTTTTACAGTTTTTAAATATTTTGATGCAATAGGACCTAAGTTTATAATATTTTTAGGTAATGGAGAATTACTTGTTGAATTTTGACTAGAATATTTTGGAGTTCCAAAAGTCTCTTCTGAACTTGTTAATCGTTTTAATTCTGGATTTCTAGGTTGTATATTTAATTTTTGAATATCTCCTTCAGTTTTAATAGCAACATCTTTAACTGCATTCATTGTTGTATTAACATTTGTTAATGCGTTTATTATTGGTCCAAACTTTTTTTGTTGTTCTTCAAGTACATGTTTTTGTTTTACAATTGTATTTCTAAATCTATCCTGTAAATCTTTTTTAAGATTAATTATTTTATTTACATCTGTAGATTTATATTGTTTTTTTTCTTTTTTAATATTATCTTCATCTTCATCATCTTTTTCTATAATAACAGTCTCTTTTTTATTAGGTTTTAATAATACATCTTTAAACCTATTTTGTAATTTATTTTTAGTATTAATTATTGTCTGAATCTTTACATCTGATGTGTTTTTTAAACTATTTCCTACCTTGGAATTGTTTTGTGTTTGATCATCAAATGAAACATTTTTTTTAATTTTTTTTTTAAATTCTTTTTGAATTTGTTTAATATCCATTTATTATACAAAAAATTAAATTAAAACATAATCATTCATCGATATATAAAATCTCATTACCTTTATTGTCATAGATTAAATTTTTTATCAAGTCTATTGTTATGAAACCATATGTTTTTATTTTACTTTTTTTATCATATTTTTTACAATAAGTTCTATTAATTTCTTTAAATTTTTCTAAAGCTACATCTTCACTAATCAAATCGGACCATATTTTTTCAATATAATAATTTGATTGATTAAAAACAATTAAAACATTCAAATTATTTCTTATTGTTTTTATATCTACTGAAGTATAACTTTGTGTTAAATAAATAACACTAATATTCTTTGATCTTGATCTTATAAAATATTCAATTATCATGTCTTGTTTTTCTTTTAGAAAATCATCAAAAATCACTAAACTATTTGGTTCACAATCATCTACAGATATTATTTCATCATTAGAAAAATGTGTGGTTATAGAAGGTATATCATCAAATATTTTTTTTATTTTTTTATAGACTGGTTGATCAATATTTTTTGTAAAAATATATAGATTTAAATAAGGAATCCAATAATTTATAATCAGATTATACAACAAGGTTGTTTTACCACAACCAGATGGTCCTATAATTAAAACACGTGAAGGTAATTCAAATAAAGATTTTTTTTATTTTCATCTTCAATAAAAAATTTTACTTTTACTTTATCCATTTATTAAAAAAAAAATATATATTTGTTAATATAAATAAGAAATGGAAAATATTTTAAATAAATATGATGATAATATAATAAATAGTCAATATGAAAGTTATATACCTCAAATTACAACAGAATTGAATAAACCAAACCGAAATACAATAGTTATAGTAGATGGTAAAGATAAATTTCTGAACATTAAAAATTCAAAACTTTATTTATCATTTGAATATGTACAAGAAGATGGATCTAAATATCCAGCAAAATCTAATGTTATGATATCTGATAATGGTGGAGCATTTTTGTTTCAAAAAATTACAATTAAATTAAATAATAAAATTATAGATGAAAGTGATAATACTGGAAGATTAAGTACAGTAAAAGGTTATATGAGTTATGCTGTTGATGGAAATGGTCCTACACAAAATTCAGGATTTGAATCTACATCTCAAGGGGGAGGAAGTGTCGAGCTCATCATTCCTTTATCACACTTTGGTTTAGGATCAATGAAAGATATAAAAAGTCCTCTTTACAATGCTAGATTTGAAATAATTTTTACGAGAAACACTGATGATGATGCGTTGCTTCTAGAAACAAACACTGAAGCTACAGCAGATACAAAAAATATTAAAGCAAAACGTGGTAAAATTAATATTTTAGAATTAAAAGTTCAAATGCAAAATATAGAATATGATGAAATAACAAAAATTCAAATAGTTGATGCATTAATTAAGAATCCATGTATTTTAGCTTTTAAAAAATGGCAAAATATTGAAGTAAGAAATCTTACTGGAAAAAAGATAAGATTTGATGTAACAAATAATTATCGAAATAATAGACATCCATCGTTTGGTGTTGTTTATTTTCAAAAAAACAGATTAGACAATCAAGAAAGTAATGCTTGTTATTTTTATCATTGTGATGTTGTAAATTATTCTTTTGAAGTAAATGGAAAAAAATATCCTAATGAATTACAAAATCAAGATTTTAATGATATAAAATGTTGTCAATCATATGAAGATCATATGAGTTATAAAAAAACCTATTATAAATCATATGAAGAAAATCCATTAATGTATTTAGATAAATTACAATTTAGACAAAAGAGACCATTTTTTGTTGTTAACATGACTAGACACCCTAATCAAATTGCAATCTCCAACTGTACAGTAATTTTAAACATAGATTTCAGTCAAAATTTACCTGATAAAACAATTTGTTATATTTGTTTAATTTCTAGTGCAGTGTATACGTTTGATATTGAAAGAGGAATAGTTGATGAAAGCTATTAAATATATTAAAATTAATTAAAAAATC